CAGTATTTACATATTACATTAAAATTTTATTTTAAAATAAGCAAGGATGGACAGTGATATGGCTCCTATAAACTGGCCCCTCCTACTCTGGGAACGTTTCTAATCATGAAGCTCAGATTTTGACTAGACCACAGTTTACACCACAGAGGAAATGGATCCATAAGTCATTTATCATGTAAGCAGTCTTTAAAAGGAAGTCTGTAATGTACCACAAGACTGTTAATTACCTAACTTGCATTGTTTTTACATCGGCATACACAGTAGAGCCTTAATAAATATTTAAGTGAGTTATCATTCATGTTTATGTATGCACTCCCCCTGTGGTTGTTATTTAGTTATTTTTTGTCGCAGTGCTGTTCAGCTGTACGACTTCAGAGGTGAAGATGTAGCATGTCTGAATGAGCACAACAGCGCATCTCAGCCCTTCTGCACCCCACTGGCGTTCAAGGCCTTTTCAGCACCCTGGGCTGCACCCAGTTATGCATTCCTCATTCCACATGCGCAAGAAAGCCGTGCAAGAAAATGCAGTGCCTGGCATCATCGTTCACACAGCTGTGCATGTCTACGGGTCAAATTTGGCCCTTAAGGGTCAGATGATAAGATCTTCCTGCTGTACTGAAGTCTTGTCTTCACTTACAGAGCCCACATCATTACAGATCCACCACATTACAGTTATATATGTTTTAATCCGCAGGTCGAGCTACATGTGCATCTTGATGGCGCAATCCGGATAGAAACCATCATGGATGTAGCCAAGTAAGTAGCAATACTACTGTTATTACTTTTTCTCGTCTGCAAAGAAGGCTTCATTTCCACTTCATGCTGGAAATACCAAAGAGCAGTTTGAACTAGTTCACTTGAATGACAGATGGCAGCCATTTAGATCAGGAAGTCAAACTGAGTTCTTTCCAGGCCACAGCTCTGCAGAGTTCACCATTCTGTGTCATTAAACTTATTAGCGAAAAAGGCTTCCATGAGCTGAACTTGTTAGTAATGTTATGTTATGTCACTCCAGGTTTATTTTGTGTGGGTATGTCCAAGGCTGCTGACAAAAATTGTAAAAAGAAAAAAAAAGAAAACGTGGCTGTATCTTTGAAAATTAATCATGGATGTAGCTTTTAAAGTTGATATGGTTTCTGAGTTTCTTTTCTATTATTTTTATGGGACACTACTGAGAGTGGCAATGATTGCACTCATGTTTTATTTCAAACAAATGAAGAATGATTGGTTTAGAACTGTTGTTTTATATGGCTGAAAACACAATTTGGTATATATACATGTATAAGCATTCTAATATGATGCTAATATTCTACTCCTTTCAAATTTCAAATCCTTTGTAAGCTGTGAAAAAATCTTAGAGGTGTTAAAGTCTTATAACATTTGAGAACTAAGTTATAATAAAGTTAATACTTAATATGTGAAAAGTGGTGACCTTGAAGTGGAATTCCACTGATTCTGTAAAACCTCTACATAATCCAAAAGCTTTTCTCAAAAATATCGCAAAACAATGTCTGACATCGGCAGCATATTCATAAGTATTTTGTGTATTTACTTCCTGTGAGGGAGCTTTTAGAAGCATTAATCTCCTCAGATGTCTGGTTCCTATCACCACCACCGTGAACATTTCACACCACTCTGAGCAACTTTTGTTTTCATTCTAACCATTTAAAAAAGCAGAAAATGTGAACATGAGTGGAATTAATAAATAGGTTACTGTATATTATTATCATTTAAGAACTTCCTCAAAGTTTAAAATGTTGAATAAAACATTTTAAAATACCATCTAGTGTCTCTTTCAGTCCATACTCTGTAAAAGTTATTATTGAATAAAATAACAGTTGTTAATGTGTTAACAAGTAATTCCAAACTTTTGAACGGAAGTGTATATAATGTTAGCAGATTGTACAGGGGGGGGTCTTCACTGTAGTAAGTGGGGTGAGTGAGGGGGTACAGTTGCTTTAATCTTCCCCTGGCTTTGTCTCAGGAGGCGAGGTATTCACCTTCCCGCTGCCACGGTGGGTGAGATGACTCACTTGTGCACACTGTCTGAACCGTCAACACTCACCAATTTCCTGGACAAGTTCAATGAATTCATGCACGTCATTGCGTAAGTATTACCTCACGGTGAGAAGAAACAAAGGTTTCCTGGTTCCAAATAAAGCTAAACTTAGATGCTAAGTGCAGTGGGTGCGCTCTAAGTTGCTTTGTAATGACATTGGAGCATTTGCAGTGAAGCTTGGCATGTGGCTGGAGAATGTGATGTAATGTTGAGTCTTTATTCCTGTTACTGCAGTCATATGAGTCGAAGAAGGAGGAACAGGTATATCAGTAAGTGGGGTTTAATAAACTCACAAACAAAGGAAGATAAATAGTATTGTTTTAATTGCCTTAATTGCTCACTATAAAAAGAGATTTATGTGAGGGGTGCAAAATCTGGGCCAAGATGGGGTTTCAGCAGCATCTGCCTGTCAGCAGCATATCTGTGAGATAAAACCTTAGGCTACCTTTATAATGTGAAACTTGCATGACACTAAAAACTGAAACTTGCATAATGTAAAGCATCATTTGATGCATTTGACGCTTTGAAACTCAGTCGCAACAGTTGCAAGTATCTCAACTTCTGGAATAAGTTTTACGAAACAGCCAATAAAAATGGCATTAACATGATCACATCGAATTACATACTTTCAAATGATTGATTTTACTGGATCAATAGATAAGAAAACAAAAAATAAAATTAAACATGGTTCACTGGGCGGCTGAAAAGGAGACCCCCAACAATACAGTGCATTAAAAATATGAGCTGTTAACTTGGCAGTATAGTGAAGTAATTGAATTTTGTTGCATACAGCTCCAGTTTTTTTAGTTGCTTCATGTAACAGTTGAGTTGCATGGACTTGCATGGACATACATTGCAGATTATGCAATTATGAAATTAGTTGCAGTAAAGGTATAAAGGAGAAACTGTCATGCAGCCTTAGTTGCTTGAAACTTCCATGGAATTGAATTGTACTTGAGTTGCATAATGTAGAATGTCAGTTGACGCTTTGAAACTCTGTTGCAGCGGTAACCAAGCATCTCAACTTCGTGGGACAAATTTCATGAAGCAGCCAATGAAAAAACTGATAAAGCATCATGTGATCATGTTAAATGACATCATTTTAAATGATTGATTTCACCTTCATTTTGTCAGTGACCTGAGCCATGACAACAAATGCGTGTTTCTCAAAGCTAATGTTTCTAAAAACTGTTTAAATGGCTGCTTGTTTCAGCTTTTAATCTTCTTTAGCCTGCTGTTGTTGTGATCTACGTAGCTAGACTATATTCTCCTCTCTTGACTCTCCTTAATTTTACACAGAGCACAGATTCTTTTGGGATGCAAAGGATGAAAAGCATTAGTGTTTGTTACTGAACTTGCTTCTAGGATAAGTAACCATAATAGTTCCTTAAACATTCATTAAAGGCTTAACATAAACAGAATAAAATAATATGAAAAAAATATATTAAAGAACTCTGGACAGAAAAAAGATATAAGATTTATATATATATATATAATATATATATATGATACATATATATATATGATACATAAAAGTACATAAAAATGATCAGAATCCTGAAACTTTGTGTGTAAATATAATGCTGAAGATGACTTTATACATCAAGAATAATACAGTGTATGAAAAATACAAGCTGCTAATTTGGCTAACTTGTGGATTAAATATGTTGCATGCAACTTTTTTTGTTTACTTGCTTTGTGTTACTGTCAGTTTGTTTAGAAAGTATGCATTAAAGTTCCACTGTGTAAAGCCAGCCTTAAGCTGCTCATGTCTGCTTTTACACCACTCGAAGTACGAGCAGTGCTCGCTGGTTGGGTGCAAAAGTGGGCGGTGCTCTCTGATAAAACTACCCTTTGGGTAGTGACAGAGAGTAACAGACACAGCGATGGCTCTTCTACAGGCTGTGCTGAGACTCGGCCAAGACGAGTTGTGGCGTCTGCCATGGTGGACTGTGCCGCATTTTCTGCTGTGCTCCATGCAGCGAAAATCCATGTCTGTGCCGTGAATCCCTTTTGAAAATAATGTATTTGAAAGCGCAGCAGTGAATTTTTCATGCTCAGTGTGAAAGGAGCTTCAGAGTTCATTGTTGTCACTAATAGAAGAGAAGTATTCCTCCAAGAACACTGAAGACCTGATATACTGAGACTTTTGTGCCAGTTTCCGTGATCCGTTTGCAATCATGATTTGAAATAGAAATCTGTTTAAGAATTAGCAGTTTCTTTACAAAAACTGAAGTCAAGTCAAGTCAAATTTATTTGTATAGTGCTTTTTACAACTGATGTTGTCACAAAGCAGCTTCACAGAAATCCATTAAGGACAAAGTTTTAACATGAAATGTAAATCCTCCAGGTGAGCAAGCCAGTGGCGACAGTGGCAAGGAAAAACTCCCTCAGAGCTGGGGAAGAAACCTTGGGAGGAACCAAGGCTCACAAGGGGGGACCCATCCTCCTCTGGTCAAACTACCTACAAAATTATTGTACTACTAATATTAATAGTAGTAGTAGTAGTAGTAATAGTTAGGAGTCCACTTCAGTGTAGGGTGGGCAGCTAGTCCAAGGCAGGTGGCGGTAGCTGGGCAAGTGGCGGTGACTGGGGCGTGGGCAACTGGTCTGAAGCGGGTAGCAGGAGAGCTCGACAGACAATCATCCATCAGTGTCCGGCTGGACAGGTGGGCAGTCGTTTACTCGAGAAAAAAGGTAGGGAGATGGAGTTAGTTTTGTTCTGTATGGGTGTATGTATAATAATATGTAAAACATTTCCAGAGTGTGGCTAACGACTCCGGCAGATCTGACTATAACAGCTTAACTGAAAGGAGAACACCAAAAGGGCACACAGATACGGGAGCACCCTGAAACAATTTGGCATCCCTCCGCTCCACCGTCCACAAACCTGAGTGATCGTGTGCGAGCGGCAGCACCAGCGTCTCAGTTTACTATAATTCCCTGTGTCCATGGACCCCTGGATCTGCTGCCTTTATCTAAGGGGGAACATTAACTACCAAAAGCTAAACTAAACAAGTGAGTTTTCAGCCTAGATTTGAAGATTGCGACTGAGTCTGAGTCCCAGACATTTTCTGGAAGATCATTCCAGAGTTTGGGGGCTTTATAAGAAAAGGCTCTTCCCCCAGATGAAACCTGAATTCTGGGAACTATTAAAAAGCCAGCACTCTGTGATCTGAGTAATCGTGGTGGCATCTCATGAAATTGCTGCCTAAGGAACAACGCCAAAGTGCTCACATTTTATGCCCTTGTTGCGGTGTCAGCACTCATCAGCACTCAAACCTTTCAGCTGATTGAACCACCTTGGATCCAAAAGATTTTCAATATATGATTTTAAAGCTACACTATAAGATATGGGGATTCAGACCTCTCTGGTGGAAATGTGTAATTGCACATAATGTGTGGGAGTGTGAACCTTGATTAACATCAGCTGAATATAGCAAAATCTACCTAAAGGATTAGTGCGTAGCTGTTTTATGTTTAAAGAAAAATCTTTGCAGTTATTATTTTTTTATTTAGCTGAAAAGTGAGAATTAAACATTAGTTAGAAAGTCTAACAAAAGGAAGTGAAGTGTTTCCACTTTTGAAAGGCAGTGTATTCTCCAGCATCTCCCATGCAGTCCTGAGTCAAAATGCTGTTAAAATGCAGCTCATGTTTGCCAGGACGCCACACCTTCATCGTGTGTCTCCATGGCAATGGCCATAAAAGGCTGCACAGCTCAAGCAGAGTCAGTTTACCGGTTATCCATAATGCTGCACACTTCTCTCTACGCAGCCGCTTCAAATAATGAAGTGTTTTCTAGCTTCAGCAACAAGAGCCTATAAATGGGCTTTTATGTAGTGAGAAAATGCCCGGGGGGCAGCTGACATTGGGTAATTCTGAATGAAGCAGAACCTTGAAAAGCCGCAGCAGCGTGGGGGAACTCGCTGGCCGCTTTTGGTCCGTGCTGGACTTTCTTTTGTTTTGGCCCCTAAGCCAGTCTCCCTGTATGTCATGTGGTGTGAACTGGCCGCTGACATTGTTTCCACAGCCTGTACTTTCAGCCGGTGCTTTTTAAACGTGGCATGTTTCGGGGAAATAATTCAAAAGGGGAAGGAATATTAGTGAGCTGTCTGGAAATGTCATGTGGCCAAAGATCTACTGCCTTCTTTGGAAAATGGTGCTCCTGCAATTTCATAACGCAGATCTAGGCTAGGGGATGGCTTGTAAAAGAAACCATGTGCATGACCCAAAATGATCCCAAATTCCAAAAAAAATCCCTCCTTTAATTCTGGGAATCACAATTTTGGAATTTCACATGGATTCTTCAAATCGTTTTTAAAACTTTGGGATCCATAACTTTGTATCACTACACTGCAGTTTACGGTTGTTCTGTGACTGCATATGAGATTCCAAAGAGACAACCCCAAATTCCAAAAATAAGATCCCAAATTCCAAAGAGACAACTCCAGATTCCAAAAAAGATCCGAAATTCCAAAGAGACAACCCCACATTCCAAAAAAAGATCCGAAATTCCAAAAAGACAACCTCAAATTCCAAAAAACATCCCAAATTTCAAAACACAATAACAAAAAAAAAAAGTTCCAAAATTCTAAAGCATAATCCCAAATTCCCAAAAAAAACTCCAAATTCCAGTGAAGTGAATGATCCTTCCATTTGGTCTGAAACTTTTGTTTACACGATTGTCCCGTTTCTTCGACAAACATGAGTCTAGTTTGAGGATAAGCTTAGTGTCTATATAGAAATAAGCTTAGTGTCTATATAGAAATAGTTGATATGAGGATTGATGTCGCCCTAATTTGCAATTTGTTTTACTCAAAGTCTTCAATATTAATAATTTAAATATATTATTTATATAAATAAATATTGTTTACATGATGTCTTTAAAATAGTCTAAGCACCAACATCACTAGATGTCTCTGAAGTGCTGCTAGCAGTTGACAGTTGCTCTCAGAAGTTAAGGCTTAAATATCATTTGCTTTCTTAGAAGCTGTGCAGCAGTGGAGACTAGCTAAGGCTCAGGGCCAGCTCAATGCAGGTCAGCAGGAGTGTCCTGCCCATTACTCAGCGCCAGTAATAGCTCTGGCCAGCGCAACCCTTCAATCAGATTAGCCCCATTCACTGAAACACCAGACCCGGGCCAGCGGCTCAGAACAAGGGCCAGCAGTGGAGCCAGTGTTCTTCATCCAGCCATGCTAACCTAGATATGGAACATGTTTCAAAGCATGAAACTGTCTTGGGTTTTGAAATAGGGCTGCATGCCATATCATCATCCTTGTGTGTTTAAACTCACTGCAGATATTGTTGTACTACTCTGTTCTTTGTTAAGTTTTGAGTGGAAACAAAAGGATTAAATTATTAAAACACCCAACAGAAAAATAATCTAATCCTGGATTTTTCCCCTGTAGTATCTTGGTAGATACAGCCAAGCTAGCCCTCTCACTGGTCCCATTGCAACAGATTAACTGCCACCATAATTAGGAAGTGAAAGAGGAATCACCCAACCATGTTTTGATTTAAAATGGGTGGAGCCAAAGTTGAGAGAGAAACCTCATTCTTGGCCTTCTGGAAGTTCTAGATGCATCACTGACTGTGAATTCAAGCCATAGCCTAACAGGTTTTAGTAAGTTGTTAGAAAGTAAAACAGCTGCAGCAGCTTGATACCAGAACTCATTACTAACTGTAAAACTGATACAAGGTAAAACTGTCTTTTACAAGCTTCATATGCCGCTGTTTTAGTTCTTCCTTCGTGATAACTCCTGCTTGTGTTTGCATTATTGCATGCATGGTTGCAATTTACCCTAAAACTATATTAATTTCTCTTTGTTTTTTGTTTAATATCTGCTTCATGTTGTGGCTGCAGAGGGGACAGGGAGGCCATTAAGAGAATAGCCTATGAGTTTGTGGAGACCAAAGCCAAAGAGGGAGTGGTGTACGTGGAGGTGAGGTACAGCCCCCACCTTCTGGCCAACAGCAACGTGGAGCCGATACCATGGAACCAGAAAGAGTGAGGAATCCCTGCTTTTGTAGTTTTTGCCATAGTTTCATATATGTGAAAGAAGATGAATTTGATTAGATTAATTATAATTTGAGTTTGTATGTCATTGTACTCCATTGTATTCTAATATGGTACACTTTGGGCTGTCAAACAGTTAAAATAATTAGTAGGGATCAGTCATTTTGTTGTGGCTATATGGACATGCTTTTGTTAGTTCGCTGCTTGTTGATTTATCAGTAGTCTTCTGGGAGCACTGTCCAGTGTAATGTACTGAAGCTGCTAAAGGTATCACATTAAAAGACATTTAAATACTGTATTTGAACAGAATGAGGCTACAATCATGCATTCTATCATAGCAACATGCAGCATGCTTCACCGTGAACTACTACAGATGGCTAGAAGGGTCAAACTAGGAAAGTAAATTAGTAATGCATTTTTTAACATATTAACTTTGGCAGCTCAAGGCACAAAATAGGATTAGGGATGGAACAGTATGAATGTTTTTATCATGAACAAACCAAAATTATCATGATTTTCAGTATTATTGTGGGACTGTTGAAATAAACACATTTTATCATTGATATTAAATGGCTAGACTGTATTTTTATTGACATTCTCGTAGGCCTGTCAGTGACAGATAAACCCACAGGAACAGCCCTTATTTACCGCCAGTATAAACCTTGTGTATTTATTTATTTATTTATTTATTTATTTATTTTGTGCATATCATAGCAATACTGCAGTCTTCCTACATATAAACATAATTGAACTTTTAAACGTTGCATGATGTGTTGTCCTGCATTAATGCCACATTATTGTACCTAACATAGATGAGGTTGATCTAGAAACACAGCTGCACTGGCTAAACACGCTCTGTGCAGTAGGCAGATATCATCCCTGTACAAAAAGCCACTTCTATGGTGATAGTTTCAAACTTAAATTTGAAACTATCACAAGCAGTGCTACTGTTTATGTAAACATGTATCAGTGACTGTATTAGTAGGCTATTTAATTCCACTTCTTGTAATCGTAATTGCTTATGTTTATCTGAATTGTTAAATGATTATCATTGGGTTTTGTACTATGGTAATCATCCCACCCCTTTGTATGACTTCAGTGTTAGCTTTAGCATGATTTTTAAACTGTTTAATGTGAATTTCTAGGCCTGCCTGAGTAGAGGCAGTAAAACTGTTTTTGACCTTGTCCTTTGGCTGTCTCTGTCTGTGCCTCCAGAGATGACGTGACACCAGATGACGTGGTGAATCTCGTGAACCAGGGGCTAAAGGAGGGTGAGAGGGACTTCAAGACCAAAGCCAGGTCCATTCTGTGCTGCATGCGCCACATGCCAAGTAATGTAACCCTCTTTCTCTCTCTCTCTTTCTTGCCCACCGTACGTGTACACCGTGTCCTGGTCTGTGTAAGAGGGTAGGGAAGCCATTCCTTGCTGTCAGGGTTTGAGTTACGCGCCATTAATCCACCACTGGTCCCTGTGAGGAATCTCTCTCCTCACTCTTAATTGCCTGGCTGTTGGAGTTCAGCACACATTCTGTGTCATAAGGTCCCTTGATTTATTTTTGTGGTATGTGTGTTGGGGAGGTGTAGAGGAGATTTAAGGGGGCTTGCTCAGTGTACTCTCGCCAGTTTCCCTCCCAGATCCACCCACTGATAAGACACGTACACTGATACAAAACACAAAGATTCACTTCATGTGTGTATATATGTTTCCTTTTGTAACACTGGTTTAATGAATAATAAACCACAAGAAGTCATGATTTACAGTGATAGTTAACCTAGTGCTGTAGTACTTGAGTCTCAGATTTGTCTTGGCTTGATGGTATTTGTACTTTTATTCAGCCATCAGTCTTGCCAAAATTACTCTGTGTTCCTGGGCGAGTCCAACTACCACACCACCCACGGCTTCAGCACCCTTGGGTTATGTGAATGGCAAACACAGCTGAGGTGCGGTGCCATAATTTAATGGAAATGTAAATGGTTTTGAATACAGTCTTATCAGTTAAACAATTTGAAGTGATGAACGCTGAGAAAGTTTAGACTGTAGAGCCTAAACAGTTACACATTCTCGAACCCCAACCCTCAAGCACCCCAAATTTGACTTCCTGGTCAAAATACATGATTTGTTGATTTTCAAGGTGAAAATAAGTAACACTACATTGGGGAAAAAAATAAACATAAAGCAAATAAATATGTTGCAATACTTAAAACAGCCTTAAATTAAATTAATTGACACAATCACAATCAGACAGGCTATTAGTGTGAATCACATTTCCATGAGATCAGTGTGAGAATGCCACATAAACTGAACAATATTAACTTCCCATATAGTTGACACCCATGGAAAAATTAGGGCTCCCTCACCTCTGAAATCCCAGTTTAACCCCTGCTGAAAACCAATTTGTTGCATCTGTTGGTGTTTCATTTAGGCAGTTAGCATTTGCGTTGGTTGGATTCACATGGAGCGGGCACTGGATGTATTCATTTAGAGCGTGTTTTGAATGCCAAAGAACCTCAATCCATATCACATTTGGGGAGAGGTATATTATTATGGAATATGGATTTGATGGAGGTATTTTTGTATATACAGTTTTGCTTAGCAGAAAGAAAAACTTTACATTTTTCCAGTAATTTTGTAGCAGTGGTAGCAGTCCTCTCGAAGATTTTTTGGGTTTCAGTCTTGACTTCATTTTGCTCTTATTTGGACTCCTGACTTGATCTCAGTCCACTTTAGTCATGGTCTTGGACTTGTCTTGGACTCGACTAAGGTGGTCTTGACCACAGCCCTAGATTAAAACCACATTAACCCGACGAGCCAGTACCAGCTCTAAAAAAGAAAGCTTTAAATCTGCTGGCACATGAGTTACAGCGCATGTCTCTGTTGGCAACAGTAAACTCATTATATCAATTTCAGTGAGTAGTACTGGAGCTTTCTTTGTGCTTCTGTGTTTTCTGCCACTATATAAAATATGCATGAGGTTGCTTTATTGTTGAATCCACTGTGTTCAAGCAAGTGATCTCATACAGAGCGGTTGGTAAACACTTAGTATTGATTTGTTTACTCTGAGTAACAATAAAGCACGACTGATGTGTGACCAGTATGCCTATTCATGCATTTGTGTGTTCAAGAGAAGATGCTGAATGTACTGAACAAAAATCTCAGAATGCTTGTTAGATTCTTTACATACCAAATAAATGCAACAACAGCACTGAGAAATTGTGTTTTTCAAGGAAAAGAATAGATAAAATAGCGTAAATTATTATTTTAAATATAGCTTAGAACATAAGACGCTCATCTAGCGCAACTGGTGTGAACTGAATGGAAGTGTATCTGTTCCATCAGAGCAGATAAAAACGCTTCAAACATTATTGCTTTTAAGGGTTGATTTTGAGAAATGAGTATTTGAGTGCTTGTTTTGAAAATATTTGAAGCCTGTAAAATGCTCTTTGAGCCAAGTTTAATAATTGATTTTTAATAATATTTGCAGTAAACAATTTTGCTGCCAAACAATGTAGTTTATTAGCAGTAGGCTGGTTGCCAAACAACATAACAGTCAAAGATTATTCCAGGTGTAGAACAGTGGTTGTAGTAACTTTATTAATACATGCATTAATACATTAATACAAAATTCAACTGATGTGTTGCATACATGTATATTGAGTATTTTACAACAGTGTCTAACGTGGCTCAACCAGTCTGATTTTATTATATGGACTTTTCAGCTACATCACCAACCTAAAACTAATTTCTCATTATATAAGAGCATCGTAAGTAGTATACATTGCATTGGTACTGCACAAATGGAGCACAAACACACCTTGTTTGCATTCATCTACATCTGTTTGTTGCTGCTCCTACAGAAAACATGTTCTCAGTCTTCAGACTGAATTGACATCCTGGTGGTTTAACATTATCACTGTCATCATTTTTATGTGGTTGCAAAAGTGAAAGTGGCACATTTCACTTAATATCTTCCGGTGAACAAATTTAGTCATGAAGTAAATGTCATGTACATTACATAAATGCATTAGACAGACATCTCAGTGTAGCTGGTATAGGGGGATGATGGTGGCTGAAGCTCCCCTCATAAAGACTTGTGTGCTTTAAAATAGTGTACATATCTACTACTATTGATATATGATCTATAAACCATGTCATAAAAACATGACAAACAGGAAAAATCTATTCCCAAGTTCTATCCATCTTATTTTTCATGACCCCTGTATCGGGGTTTTGTGCTTGAGACCATGGCTGAAATATCTGATTGGGGAACAGAAGTGTTTTGTTAATGTTTTAGCTAAGCCACAGAAAAAGTATTTACTTATCATTTTATGAGCCATTAAATGTCTCTAAGGCATTTCTGGGAGATCATGCAGTTTGAGGCTCTACAGCCAAGAGACTCAAACTAAGAACTGAGAACCAGGAATCTTATGAGCATAAACTTCTCAAGAAACCACAGAGCTTCACATGAACATGAACGTAGCTTCATAATCACTGTTTGAAAAAGTTGTTTGCCAGTTGAACATCCCTGGTTGCTACTAAGACTCTCTTTAGCTGGTTTACACTTTACATTACATCTTTAACTGAACTTTACATTTTGTCGGTGTCCAATGAAAAACATGTATCTCCATTTTTTGCGATTTTTACTTTTCTGCATCATTGGAGCTCAGCAGTTGTCCTTTACATTGTTTGAAAAATTCATGATGATTGGACCAATAGAAATGCTCCAAAATTGCTTAGAATAAAATCATTTTCCATTAACTTGCATTGAAAGTAAATAATGTTTTTGACCTCTCCTGTAAAGCTACTATTTTGGAGATACTTGTTTTTCTTTGGACGATTTACATCTTTAACTGAATGTTCTGCCCTTAGAGTGGGCTGAGCAAGTTGGCAGAAAGCTAAAAGTAATAAAGTTACTACAACCACTGTTCTGCACCTGAAATAATCTTTGACTGTTATGTTGTTTGGCAACCATCCTACTGCAAATAAACTACATTGTTTGGCAGAAAAATTGTTTACTGCAAATATTATTAAAAATCAATTATTAAACTCGGCTCAAAGAGCATTTTACAGGCTTCAAATATTTTCAAATTTTAAGTAAAGTCCTGTGGCAATATGTCTGTCTGACTTGAGTCATCATAGTTTAGAAGAACATCTATGTTCTAAATTCCACTCTGTGAAAGAATGATCTTCTTCTGCTGATTGAAATGCATGATCATTTTCACTTTCTTTTGACTGCTAAAACTGAAGTTGTGATCTGCTGGCTGACCCTGCAGGCTCCGACTACGTTGGGGTGTGTTTTTATACAGGAGTGCAGAATTCAGCAGAACACCGGCCTGCATGCCTAGAATTATAGAGGGAATGTGATGTCAAAACACAGTGTCTTATGGGTGATCTGCTAGGGTTAGTCAGTCAAGGCTGGTTCAAGATAGGTGAATGAATCTTAATTACCTACTTTCCTTGATTGTGGGTGATCTGAAGCCAAAGGACTCACTAAATTTGTTCGCAGAGCTGACGAGTATCTGGATCTACATGACTATCATATTAAAGATCAGAGCAAAAGGAAAAAGAATGGAAGGTTCATTTAACTATGCAGACACGGATCTAGTTAGACAGCACAGGAAAGAAAGTGAAAATGTGGATAAACATCAAGGTCAAGTTCATTTTATAGATCTAATTGTACAGATTTAAGGGAATAAAGCTTTTAGTATCCGTTAGTGGATTTATCACATTTGGAATCAGTTAACTCTTCACAAACATCTCATGGGCACCAGAATGTAACTGCACCAGTTAGGTTGGAATGGAAAATTGGATTAAGAAGCTGGCGAATAAGCACATTTCAAGTTTGTGGTGAAGTATGCATTGATGCTACCACTACCAATCAACAGACCTAATGTCTTACTTTTCAAAACACTGTTTTCTAGCTAAAAGCTACAAGGTGAAGTAAGTTATGTTACTAGGCTGTTAACATTAGCTGAAGTCAGACAATCAGCATTTGTCTGTTTCTCTTAAAGACTTTGGGATGGCTGCCCTTTCAGTGTAAACTTAAGCCATATGTGATCTAATATAATATAGCACAGTACAGTGATCTAATATATAAGGGTACAGTAATATTATCATTACTTTGCTAACTAGGAAAGCAGTGTTTGCTAAAAGGCCACCTAAAGTAGCTGAGGAAAATATGCCAAATCCGAGTGACATATGCCAGTAAATGAGTAAAATGTGCCGGTGGCTGAGTGAAATACGCCAGTAACTAGGTTAAATCAAAGATTGTATGACCCTCTTTGGTTAAATGTGCCAGCGGCTGAGTGACATTTGGCAGAAACTGAGTTAGAT